TCAACATTTTTTATTTGCTTCCGTTATAGACAGCAAAAGCCAATACAGTATTAAATGTGATATAATCACAGTCTGATATAAAATCAAAACAATCATCTCTCACACACACACACACACACACACACACTCACTCACTCACTCACTCACTCAATCGCTAACTTATGATGTATTTATATAAATTTTAGTTTTCGTTTCAGTTCATATTAGTTATTTAATAAACTATTAAAAAGAAATTTAAAAGCATTTTTAATAAAATGATATAATTATTTCAACATTTTTTATTTGCTTCCGTTATAGACAGCAAAAGCCAATACAGTATTAAATGTGATATAATCACAGTCTGATATAAAATCAAAACAATCATTAGATTATCGCAAAATGATAAACATATATAATTATGTAGAAATTATTATTAGGAAGGATTTTAGATTCAGCAATTTCCAATCGATAATCTAATTAATTGTAGTAAATAGACACATGATTACTATGTTCAATGTATCACAAATTTGTTAGATATCAATTAGACGTCAATAATTACAAATCAAGTTGTTATATATTTGTATTAAATTTTTTCATATCTTCAAAACTCTATAATCAGTTGTTTTCTCAATCATACATTTCAATCCCAAACACACTTAATGTAAATGAATTGCATGACTGACTGCATGATTTGCATGTCTCGTATGTCGCTATCTATTCATTAGTAAATCATAAATTCATTGCAAATTGAGTGGTATTTGAGAAATATGTGAATTTCGGTGTATAAGTGGAACAATGGTTAACTACTTGTGATTTAATTGAAGTCAAAGCATATATTGAGCGCACAAAACAAGAAAACTAATCGTAATTACACCTCAAGTCAGAGCCCAGGTATCTAAACATTAATACTCATAATTTATATGTAATTTTCAGTATCTTTTGCGATACAAATTGCATTTCTGGTTAACATACAATCAATCTCTCGATTGGTTGGCTAAATAAATTGTTTTAATAATAATTATAATCACAATTATACGCTAATATAATTTGGGAATTTTATTTCTGAATTCACACAAAATAATACAAAACGGGATTTAATTTGCTTTGCTCTGGAAATGTGTTTAAAAACAAGTGATAACTCCTATTCTGTACTCATTTCGTGTTTTGGTGTAAAACTTTTCAAAGTTTTCTCTCACTTCACAACTAATTTAATTTTTTGGTTATAACTTTTGTCATATTTATAATTATCATGCAAAATATCGTAGTGTTTGTTTTAGCTACATGTGCTCTGGCTCTGGCCGCTGAGGAAAAGGCCCCAAGATTTTCAATAGGCCTGGGTGTTTTGGCGCCCAGTTACTCACAAAAGTTTGCCGGAAATGGACGTTTGGATTTTGACCAGGATAAAAATGGATTCTCGTATACATTGAACAATGTGCCACATACTGGTTCTGGGTCCAGTGATAGTTTCCAAGTAAGTTACATTTAATTTATTTTATTGATATACTGTACTATGAAAAGTCTAATATACTTGAATTATATCTACTAAAAAAATATTTAAAAATTTTGAATTCATAATATATGACAATATGGTATAAAACTGACTATTATATTGTTATATAAACTGACTATGGTATTATATTTACTGAAAAGACTACAGTATTATTTGATTGCATTATATTTGCTGATATAAACTTATTTATATGAATTTATTCTAAAATAAAACTATTTATAAACTCTTTCATAAACAGACTTTTTGTTTGTCTAAAGGCTATGATATTTATGCATCAAAATTAAGTGCAAAAAAGTTTATGCAAAATTTATTATTTAAAATAAATACTGTTTATTTAAAATAGCTTAACACGGCTATAGAAAATAAAAATAAATTTAATTAGCGACACTTTCAATTCCAATACTCACTATCATGAATATAATGAGATAATATTTATTTAAATAAAAATAAAGGAAAAACAGTTTTTTAAATACCAAAGTTAAATACCAAAAGCAATTTACTATATAAAAACGATCGTTTTATTTATATTTTATCTACTAAATAATGGGAATAATAATAATTTTTTTGAATGAATTAGTTTTGGTTGAAAAGTTAGTTTAGTTTAACTTAAGTAACACACAACTACTGGTGTATTTATAAATTATAATAAACACTTTTAAAATTATGTGTTTATAAATTTAAATTTTTAAATTTGTTTGCGGAGGTTGATTTAATTACTATTGATTTACCACTAAACATAATTATACAGTATATTAATACCGGTACAGTATTATTCGTGTGAATAATGAATAATATTTATAAATATAGATATATAAATATAGTTATATATAAATATTTAGGTAGGAATTCATGCTAAATAATAATTATATTAGTATTAAATTTAGTATATAATTAGATTGGTAAATAACTAAACTCTTGAATAAATTAAACATATTCTCTAATAATATAAAAATGATTTTTAAGAAATATTTTAAAATAAACAGAAACTTATAAATCAATTTCTAGTAAATGTTTTCGTCCTCTAAATATATTTGTGCTATTTTTATACTCTGTTATAAATCCGATAAACAATAGGAAAAGAAAGACATCTCCTGTTTGTATCGAAACAAAGACTTAGAATTAATTCCAAGAAAGTCTTGTTTCCTTTTTTGGGAAATATTCCACTTTTTTGTCCATCAGTATTGCACTCAATGAGGGAGAGAGAGAGAGAAAGAGAGAGAGAAAGAGAGAGAGAGAGAAAGAGAGAGAGAGAGAGAGAGAGAGCTAATATTTATTTGGAACTCCAATTCCTTCTAAACATTGATTTCCAAAGCTATTTGCGATAACAGAAAAGTAGACTTAGTATTGAATTGTTGTGTTATATATTAGCATAATTACAATTGATATTATTTGCTATCAATTACAGAGTCAATCAAATCCAAAACAATATCAATCGGCTTCGTCTCAACCATCGACTTCAGGAAGTGATTACGTGAGTATTCATTTGCTTTTTCAGCACAAATTTACTTTCTTAATAAGCAAATCAATTTGTGTTTACAAACATATCATTATTAAATACTTTTCCTAATAAATTAAACTGATATAACTTTTAGCACTGAATCTCACACAACAATAAAAGTCAAAACTATTAGGTTTTATTAACTGATTAATTAGACATCTGTACTCATTTTCATATAACTTATATATAAGTTAATATAAGTTAATAAACGTATTACTTATTTCTCATATAATTATCACTTTTACAGTGATTTTTAAAATGAACACAAAATTTTCCCAAAAATCAATTATGACTTTATGTACCAAATCAGGCACAACCGCAGTCCCAGTTCTCCATCTACCAGCACCGGCAGACACCGAAACACTCAGAAGGCCCTACCTATCACTCAGCCGCTATTAGCAGTTTTCTAGTGTCGGTCTAATTTCAATTTAATGCTAGCCATACATAGAGCACATACACTATGATACATACCCTCATCGAGATTAGCGCCGACTAATTTATGGTTGAAATTAATGCTAATATTGTTATACTTTTCCACTTCAGTCAGCATTAGTTCGTTAAGGAATCGGCGACTAATCGACAGAAGGAACTGATCTTTCTTTCCGTAAGGAATGGCTCGCTTTCGGCCGTTCGTGTCATGTATGAGACGGGCATTCATTTTGATGGAGTAGTTCTCCAGTATGTAGTCCTCGAGTCCCAGGCATCTGAGCGCCGACCGACCCCTCTCGGACAGCGCCATGTTTATGGACTTTCCGACCACATGTTCCTGAGTTCGCGGGTCTTCTCTCATCTCATAGATATCGACCTGTGATCAGGGACAGGACAGGGAGGACAGGCTTTTTAGAATAGTTTTTATTTATGAGTATTATTGGTGCCCAAAGTGAGTACCAATTCCCATATAATTTACGTAAAGATTCAATTGTTATAACTGTAAGCTTTAGTTTATTTGTCACAACTAATGGTCTTTTAGACCACTGCCTCACTGAACATAAATCTTATTTATGTATTCAATACATCTATAAATAACTCAACAAATATAAAGAGGTTTTGCATAGGATTTCAACACATTTCCATTAAATTGTTTAAACATTTATTTATATTTTGAGCTAAAATGTAATGCATTTTTGTCCATAAAGAGAGAGAGAGAGAGAGAGAATAAGTGATTGATTACTTTATATCCTTTTCTTGCCAGAAAACATGATGCCATTGAACCGACCTATGGTGTTGTGCCAATCGATGAATAAATTTGTATAGAAATAAAAATATTTAGTAAACATGATTTAAAATTTATTTCTCAAATATCTATATATGAAAAATATGAATATTATGTAAATGTGATTTTTTATTGTATTATTTTTATGTAACTTATTTAAGAATATTTTAATATTTTTACATTCATTCTAATATTTAGTTTTTATGCATTTCCAAAGTTTACAATTTATAGCTATAGAATCTAATATTTTATGTATTTTATTATAATTAGGTATGAATTTCATGCAATGTTTATTTAAAACATTATCAATTAATTCGATATATTTAAAGATTTTTTAAATATTTAAATTTATTTTCATCTAAATATTAGAATTAAAACTTTTATTTAGGTTTATGAACAATCACAAATTATTCTGCATTATAGAGACAATAATGAATCTAAAAGTTAAAAATAAAAGCAATTCTAGTTAAGATGTGCTTGGGTATTTGTATGCTATTAATACTATCAGTTTAAACAGTATTTGTATGTTTTAATGTTACACGCTGTAACAAGGTAAAGTGTGTACAGTATAATAATTTAGAAAACAAAAAGCATCTTTAGAAATATCCATATAATAGATTCTATAGTAAAATAATGACAAGATACTACAACGATCAACTAAAGTAACAATTATTAAAAATTAAAATAGAAGTTAGTAAAAACTGCAAAGTACTGTCAAATGATCATTTTATAACTAATAATTATTTTATTAACAAATTTTCATATCATCATCAAAAAATATATTGAAATTTTTTTTTGTAATACACCAATATTAAATTAAATTATTTAAACTCTAAAAACTGGTTTATCATTTTGTAATTAGTAGAAAATATCCATTTGATTCAAAGTTACCTCCAAATTATAAACAGATGTTAAACATATGTTTGTCTTATTATTATATAATAATTATGTAAAGGAGTTACTCTTATTGTGAATTTATGTATTTTTGGTACTTGTATCAATATACCGGTAAATTTAATGATTTCCCAGTGACTAACTATTTTGAGTACACATACAGTCGCATAAAAATTACTACTATTTTTAAATGACACTGTTATTAATGCCAATATTCTTGTACTATCTTAACATAGAATTGAGTCATAAAAATATCGATTAAATTATATTTTTAATTGTAAATATTTCAACTAATATTTGCAATAGTATTCAGTATATTTTTATTATTCACACATATATAATAAGTGCAAAAATTACTTAACAAATTAATAAATCATGTCATAAATAATCACTAATTAGCGATTAAAAGTATATTTTATTTGTCAAAGTCATAGATCATAATATATTTATTGATTCTGTAACATGATTGTCAGTAATTTGTAACGTTTCCCATCGATTATACAAAGATTATTAAGAATTTTGTAATAAATGTATGAATTAATTGTCAATCAAATGGTGGGATTGTTTGTACATATGTTACCGATTGTGATAATTCAATCAAATATAAGACAAATTGAGACAAATTGGCCACAAATTTGTTGTTTACTCACAATTAATAGGTTAGTCAAGAGAAAAGAAAGTCTAAAAGTCTACTGAGTGTACACTAGAATAGCCTTGAATTGAGTGATAATTTTTATTATCAAACATTATATTCAACAGATAATGTCTTTTTTGCTAAACTAATAGCAGAATCGTAGAAACATTTCCCAAAAGCAGCGTTTTATCGACAAAAATATAGAGTAATAAACACTAAACACAAAAAATACAGAAAAATATATAAATTACTCTTATTTAGAGGAAAATTAGTCGTTTTGTCCCCAAAAATAAAAAGTTTTTACAATTAGTCCACAGAATGTAAAGAAATGGTTTTATAATGAAAAATGTGATATACATTTGCTGCACCGGTAGGTTTGTTCACATGTTAGAGTTCAAAAGTTAGCTTAATTCACACCCACATTGGAATCAATGAACAAATTAAATATTTAATGAAAATAAAAGTTACTCTAAATTAAATTTAGACTAATTAAACGAGTTATAAACTTAATTATGAGAGAATATAGTGAAAAGTGGTGTATTGTATGACATACCAGACCCCCACCGACGACAGCAACCGTTTCCATCGTCCGATTGTCGTTAAGACTGAATAATTTTGCTGTAATTTTATATATAATTTAAACACAAAATAATTAATAAAAATAATTCACACTTTAATTAAAACCAAAACTACATAAAGAACTTAAAAGCATAAAAATAATGTTTCCAACAAATAAAAAGTAATAATTAACTCAAATAAGATTTATAATAAAAAACTAAAGCATAAAATCATATAATAATAAAAGTGTTACAAAATTCTTATATAAAAATCAAAGTTTTCTAAAATAGGAATTTAAAATTCATGAATTAATTGTATATTACTATACATAATGAATACATAAGTATATCTATGAAACAAGTAGACTGTATTACAAGTTTTATAAGACAGTGAGTATGAAAATTACATATAATAATCAGTATTATATCGTTTATTAGTACTAAATCTATACTAACATTGAATGGATGGCATTCTGGAGGCTATATTTGATACCAATTCAAGGTCTGGGCTCTCGAGAGAGCGAACTTTAAACACAAATCAATTGAAAAGCCTTTAACTTAACTAAACATAATATAAACTAAACTAAATATTCTGATTATTTATACTTTGAAATTGTTTGACAATAAATAATTAGCAGAGATATTTGCGAAACACATCCAAATATATACGGCAGAGATGCACATTTCTTCATAAACTTTAAAACTTCAAGAATATTCACAAAATTATTATTAATATTGCAATATATTATTATATAATATTAAGCGTTGCATGAAATTTGTTTGAAATTATTTGATTACAACCAACGGTTGGCAACAAAATCAGAGATTAGACACAATCTGTTTGTTCTTTCACTTATGTTTTGTCAAAAAAGTTTATATAACTATATATTTGTCGT